AACCATGTACCTAATTTGTTCCCCAAGTTTTGGAAGAAAGCAGGATGATGAAAAGAACATATTTGCGCTGATTCATCAGCAAGGCGTGCACACAGTACCGAGCGCAGACGCCGGGTTGGTGGAGACGGTCGGCTGTGAGCTCTCGCAGCCAGATGTCCCAGACTAGCGTCAGCCCTGATCTCGCTGATGCACTGCACACTCTGTCAAGGGTGGTTTGGAAGATTCTTTTTTTTTTTTTTTTCTTTTTCCAGAGTGGCAAATATGGGGAGAAAAGGCATGCCGTGCTACTGAAATTTCAATATTATATTAGTCTGGTCAGTTGTGCCATCCAAACAATTTAGCAAGAATTTTTCCTACCCTACTGGGGGAATGGGTGCGGTGAGGGAGGAGAGGGCCAGGGAAAGGAAAGTTACTATTGCCTCCACTCCCGTTCATGGTAGTGCCGTAACGTGTTAAAGTAGAACTGCTCCGGAGAATTCCCAATGGTCCATTTTCTGGAAGTGGAGCTCCAGGCCTTCCTTCCAATGTACAGCTGGGTAGACTTGAGCCTCCAACTTTTCCCCTCATGCCTGGGCATATTATTTGTATCATGTAAGGACTCTTCAGTATTAGGAGGATCTTGTCCAAGGATCATAGTCAGCAGGTAAATGGCACATAGTTCATTTACTCTGCTCAACGATTTAATAAACATGAGTTTACTCAGATGGCAGACTTGGGACTGTTCCCCATTAACAGTCGGGATGGATCTGCAGCACTCCCTCCCAACACCACCTGCCCACCATTGTGTTGTCATGTGATGGTTTATGTGTTGCTATGATACTGGAGGTTATACCACTGGTGTTTCAAACACCAGCAGGACCACCCTTGGAGAACAAATTGCCGCAGGGCTTCTACCCTCTATGACAGAGGAGGAAGAAAGGCCTGGAGGTCTGCTTCCAAAAATTAAGCAACGAAATCCCTATGGATCTCAACCAAATACTGTCTGATTGGACATCCAGCATACTGAGAATTGTGAATGAGGTGATTGTTTATTCTTGTTTATGGGGACACCATGGATCATAAACTACTGAGCATCAACTGACAACCACAATCTATGAGATATCTGGAAATATCTATGCAGGAAAGAACAACTGACCATGGTTGGGAGTGGGGCGTGGGGGTGAGGGATTAGACAAATATCCATGATGGTTGCATTCCCAAGAGGCAGTAATGAGTCTTAGATAGTCCTCACCTGTGACCAGGGGTGTATCTATGGAAAATAACACCTGGCAATTAGTTTTAGTTGGGTGAATGATTTCCCCTCTCTGGCTATGGCAAATAGACACTGTTAATCAAGGTCTCTGCTCAAGTGGCACCCAGGGCAGGGCCTACCTGCCATACCTTAAGGTGTGCTTCTGCCTTTGACTTGGCCTGAGCTTTAGTCTGGGGAGCAGTGGGAAGAAGTGAGCTGATGCAATGGCTGCTAGGTATGTTCCCAGCTATAAACCTGCTACTTCCTCCCATTCCCTTGTAATTCCCCTGACAGGAGACAAAAGCTGTTCATTTCACAATTATTGATCACAATCATAAAACAAGTACTCGTGAGAAAGTGCATGCTGACAATCCCACACCTAGTCTCCAAAGTATTCGGAAGAGCTCCATAACCCTGAAGAGGATGTGAAGGATGGCAGAGTTTAGCCATGGAAGGTACATACCTTACCACCACTGCCAACCTTGCATCCATGACCACAAAGCAGCTACTCAGCACCTCACTCTCCTGAGTCGCTTGAAAAGTGGAAAGCAATTAACTCGATCTTGCCCTCAGAGACTTTTTTAAATAGGTGAAGGATGTAAAGAAAGCTGCATCATCACATGCAGTAGGAACATAAATATTGCTGTTCTGGTTGTTAGATGCCTTCAGGTGGATTCCAGCTCACAATGGCCTTGTGATTACAGCAACGCATTAGCCAGAACGATGGCAAGGTTATTGTGAGGCTTTAATACACTGTGTCAGCCATTGTGTCAAACCATCTCAGTGAGTATCCCCTTGGCCTTTGCCAACCCTTCCTTAACCACAAGGCTATCACGTCCTTGCCTAGCAATTGTCTTTAGCAAATGCAAAATAATGTTTCCCAATAGTCAAACTTTGTGCTATGGTTGGATTTTCTTCTCTTGAGTTCAAGGTCTTAATTTGAGTGAAACTCTTAAAGACACTGCCACAGGGTCCCCTTTCTTACCCCTCATCATCATTTTAAAACCCTGCAGCAGGTTACATTGTTTGGTATTTGGTGTAAACCCTTCCTGTGAAGTTTTTGTGTCTAATTGTTGTAAATATTTAGATAACTCAACATGTGCTGTTTCCATATGTACGATAAATATTAATGTTTTCTATACTCAAGTTGCACCATATTGGCTAGTAGGAACCTTTGTTTCTTGAAGGACATATGTTTGGGATTTCGTGGAGGATTCTAGGATCTTTGAAAGCTTCCTTGGTTTCTGGCATGTGATAGATAGGGTTTGTGTCCACTTAGTTTGGCTAGGATTCTCGGGAGTTCGGCGGTGGAAGCCTCCATCAGGATGGGATCTAACATAAAGTGATCAACTCCACGATGAGATCTTCTATGAGCAGTCAAGAAGTTGTGGGGAGATTATGGTGGATTACCACCTCTTATCCAGGTAAGTGCTCGGATGACGTTTCCTCGGGGGTGTGGCCTACTTCATACAGAAGTAGACACTGTGGAGAGCTTCTTCTCTTCTTGCTGGTCTCAGTCTCACATCTGGTTCATTGATCTCTAGTTCTTCAGACTTAAGCCAACAGCCCATCAGCGCCTTCCATCTGACCTGCCGACCTTAGATTCTTCTGCTTCTGCATCCGTCAGCCATGGTCTTCCTACGTCCTGGCTTCATCAGCCCCAGAAGCTACTTGAATCATAAAAATCTCAGCTTAATATCTGACCCACAGACTTGAACCAGATATGTTTGTGTGTGTAGGTGTTTATCAAACTCACTGCCATGGAGTCGATGCCCACTCAGAGGGACCCTATAGAACAAGGTAGAACTTGCCCTGTGAGTTTCTGAAACTGTAATTGTTTACAGGAGTAGAAAGCCCTTTCTTTTTTCCCAAGGAGTGGCTGGTGGTTTTGAACTGTTGGTTTTGCAGATTACAGCCCAACTCATAACCACTATGCCACCAGGGCTCATATATACAACTGGTATACATATGAGGTAAGCATATGAAATATATGTGTGTATAAACATATACATATAACCACTGGTTTTGCTTCTATAGAGAATCCAAACTAACAGCTGGTGTGACAACATGCTGCAGGCTCATCTGGAGCAGCTCCTGCCCGAGTCTCAAAGTACCCACCTTTCTGAAGAACCCTCAATCCTTGTGAGGTGATAGGGACATAAGCACCTCAAAACAGGCTTCTGTGGAGCCCAGTGCTTCTGGGCATTGGCTCTAGATCTTTTCAGTGGACAGAGGCAAAGACTCACCACCCTACCCGTCCCCTACAGAAAATGCATCAGGAGTTCAAACTGGTATTTCCAACGGAAGTTTATGTTGATAGGTTTGCATCTAACTGCTAGTTTTCTATTGGATCCTCTTGGTTTCTAATGAGATCACTATAATGTGTATGTGCTTTACCCTACGTCACAGTGGACCCCATGACAGTTTTGCTTTTTAGTTCTATCCTAACTGAAAGTAAAATAGAAAAAATAATTTTAAATAGTTTTAAATTGCCACACCCAAATATTGTTGCTATGGTGATTGCTGGCTGTCGTTCAGTTGGCTCTCCCTCTTGTTGTTGCTCAGTGCCATGGTGTCAGTTCCACTTAGAGCAAGCCTCTGGAGAACAGAACTAATCACTGCCGGATCCAGCGCCATCCTCACAAGTGCTCTTAGGTTGGGAGCCATGGTGGCAACCACTGTGTCCATCCACCTTTTCGAAGACCTTTCTCTTTTAACTTTCCCTTGACTTTCTCAAACATGATGCACTTTTCCAGGGACTGGTCTTACTAACAACATGTCCAAATTACATAATATGCAGTCTCTTCACCTTCCCTTTAAGGAACATTCTAGCTGTTTCTTCTAAGACGGGTGTTTGTTCTTTTGGCAATCCATGGTATTTTCAGTATTCTTCACCAGTACATAACTCAAATGCAGCAATTCTTCTTTGTCTTTCCTTTTTTAATTTTCCAACTTTCACAGACACTTGAAAATACCATGACTTGGATCAGGTGCAACCTTAGTCCTTAAAGTATCCTGCATGCTTTTCAACACTTTAAAGAGGTCTGTGCAGCAAATTTACCCAGTGCATTTCATCATTTTCTTTCTTGACTGTTGATTGTGCAGCAAGCAAGACGAAATCCTTGACAACTTCAACCCTGTCTCCATTTATCCTGATGTTACCATTGGTCCAGTTGTGAGGATTTGAGTCTCCTTCACATTGAGTTGTAATCCATACTGTCGGCTCTAATCCATCTCATAGTAAGTAAAAATAATTAGTCTGTAGTTGCAATAAAGCTTATGAACATTTTATAAAGCATGTGGTAGATACTTCTCAGCATTTAGATCTGGATTTTCTTTTTCTTTTAAATGGAGGCAGGAAACTCCATTTATTGGTGGGTACGTTTCAGGTGGGGCAGTGTTCCCGGGGCCTTCATGAATGTAGGCCCCACCATGTATCCCTGGGTCTCAGGTTGTGAGGTATTTGATTCCACAGTCATCTAGGTTGAGCTGCTTTTCAACCACCATGTCTCCGAACTCATCATCATTAACCTTGGTAAAAAGTCTCACATCTTGGCGATACAGATCTTCTGATTCCCAGGGAGCTGGAGCCTGGCCCTGGGTAGAGCCTTAATCACACACTCCTGGTTTTGAAGTTTGATGCAGTGGGCTTGATGACTTGGCCAATGTGCAGCCTGGCCACACTACCTTGGGGTTTTCCAAAGACATCTCTTCCCATACCCATCTGAAGCATCATACATTAGGGAGGTCAGAAACACCAAAGAGCAATGACTGTCTCCAAGGTCACTGCGGGCAGCCTGTATGAGACATCAGACTGCAAATACTGCCCAGGAGGCGGGTACTTGTCCTCACTGTTCACTCGCTCCAGAGGGAAGGAATATGGTCAGCTTAATTGGCTGCAGTCTATCTATCATTTTGACTTGAAAATCACAGTGAAGTGTCAGAACTGGAAAGACAGACCTAGACAGAGGAGAATCTGCTTAGCTCATTCAATGTTTGCCCCCACTCCTGGCCCTCATTTTTCTGTAACTTCCACTGTGCACGAATAAGTCATGCCCATTTCATAGACACCAAAACAAACTCAGAAAGGAGCAGTGACTCCCCCAAGCCTCATCCAGGACCATCCAACTAGTATTTGAACTCAATAGATGTTTCAGGATGTTGCCAGGACACCCATTGACTTCAAGAGCTAGAGAAATAGGTTCTTAACTCATCCTTGGCACTAGCTAGGCATGTTCTAGGCTACTGATCTCCCTGGGTTTCAGTTCACTCAACTAGAAATCTGGGGATTAGATAAGAGGTGGTCAGTCTCCTTCCAGGTCCATGATCTACATGTACGAGGGCCCAAGAATGCTACATGGGAGCCATCAGCCCTGACTTGGGAAAGCCCCACTCCACATTGTGACAAACCCACATCAGAAAAGTACCAGGCTCTCCCACACAGAACATTATTTATAAAGGCCTTCCTACTCCGGAAACATGGTGCCAGAGTGGGGCAGGCAGAAGAAGAGTCAACATTCACCAAGCCCTACAGTACATGGAAGCTTTAAAGTCTTGAAAAAGTTGTCTTTCCATTCCATCTTTTTCTACAGAATTTTTGAAGATCACTCATATTTTTTAAAAAAAATCCATGTTCCAAAAAAAGCCAAGCTCCCTGACATGGAGTCCATGCCAGCTCATAGAAACTCTACAGGACAAAGTAGAGCTGCCCCTGGGGATTTCCAAGACTGTGACTCTTCATGCGAGTAGAAAGCTTATGGTTAGTAGCCCAACTCATAATTTGCTGTGCCAGCAGGGCTCCTGAACACATTGGGGCTCATTATCATCATTATTGGGAAAGTAGGGAGTGGGCTAAAATGAGGGGCAGTCTCCGTGAGATGGGATGACCCAGGAACCACAACAATGGACTCAAACAGACCACTGATCACGAAGATGGCCCAGGAATGGACAATAGCTCTGTCACAGACATAAGATTGCTTTAAATCCGAGCCAACATGAGGACAACTCATGACAAAAATATCATCCTCACCGCATGTTTGATTTCACAAATGAAGACACAGAGTTTCAGATACAAATCATTTATCCGACATCACACAGTAAGCAGCAGAGCTGGAACTGGAGTTCTGTAACTGTTGCCCTGTGACTGTGTGCTCTGCATTGCTGCGAGAAATCCAAGAGGAGTCTTGATATCACAGAATGACAGACCTTATACTCATTACTATTAGCTAAATCCTACCTGGGTTGTTAGGTAGCACAAACAACACACTCAACTGCTAAATAAAGGGAGGAGATAAAAGTCTACCCCATGAAAGAACTGGTGATCTACTTCCCCCAAATCAATCACTGAATCAGCCCAAGTCTCAGGAGCACAGCACCACCCCAAGGGGGCAGACTCTAGAGCCCAGTAGTTATTTTCCCACTTGGTGAATGTGTTTTGTGATAAGCTATTCACACACAGACCCACTTAGATCATCCTCAAATGGAGAACATATTCCCAACATTATGATTGAACAAACAAGTCTCAAAAATAATTATTTACTGGGTACATTTATGAATAAACAAGTCCATTCCATTATAATCTAAGTCCAAATGCTATTTAGACATATTTGTCATTATCACCTAAGTGAAAATGTCGTGGTCTATAATTTGCACGTGATGGCTGTTCCATTTTGAAGGAAAGATGATAAGTCTGCCACACCACTAGTCTAGAGCATCTAGTTTCTAGCTTTCCTATTTTTCTCCATCTATCTGGTTGGGAGTAGCTGAAAGAGCTCAGCACCAGAAGGTCAGAGAGGGAAAATGTACTGTTTTTGATGGTGAAGATGATCTTGAAGCAGTAGTGACCCAGGTTTACGGCAATGCTTGATGAGAGTCAAGACTCTGAAAGCTATAACATCTTAGATTTTGAACCCACCCCTAAAATCTTGGATTCAAATCATCAGCTGGGTGTGACCTGAAAATTTGCATTTCTAATCATTCTGTTGTTTCTGATCTTAATGATTCAGAGAGAAAGAGAGAGCTCACTTGAGATCTAGGCTTGCCCTTGACATCTAGACATAATTCTTGAAACTCATATCCATAGCACAAAGGAGGATACCTATACACATACACAAATCTACACACCTAGCTCCCCTGCATCATACATATACACCATGCACCTGTAATACACCTGTGCACCTCACATAGATCCATCCATATGAACACTCTCCATGCACACACATATGCACGCACATATGCAGCCCAAGCACCCTGAACTTTTGCTTCATTTCTAGGTAACACACACTGGCATCATTCATACCCAAACCCACTACCATCAGGGTGATGTCCAAATGACCTTGTAGGACAGGACTGCCTCAGTGGATTTCTGAGACTGTAACTCCAAGGGAGTAGAAAGCCTCCTCTTTCTCCTGCAAAACCGCTGGTGGTTTGGCATGTCTGGCCTGGTGGTTTGCAGCTAAACACATAACCACTCTACCACCAGGGCCCCTGGGCATCATTCCGAAGCACGACACATTTTTCGCATATACTCAGGTATGCATATGAACACATGTGCCTGCACTACAGCATATACCCCATAGCTGCACTCTACATCTGTACTGCATGACCACATCCACTCCATGTGCAGATGAGCATTCATATTACATGCATGCACTCTCTACCTATACCACACACTCATGTCACACTTTTTTCACACAATCGTATGTATGCATATTCACTCGATATAGTGGCTCCGTGTTGGGCTGTGATCCACAAGGTTGGCAGTTCAAAACCACCAGCATCTCTGTGGAAGAAAGAGGGTTGTCTGGTCTCATACACAGTTACAGTCTCAGAAGATCATAGGGTGTCAGTATCTACTGGATGGCAGTGAGTTGACTATCTGGACCATGCCCATTCCTCACCTTGTACACCACACGAGCCTCACATGTTGTTCTGCATACATGTAGACATACGCTCACCCATCTGTACCACCCACAGGTGCTGTCAAACTGTACCCCACATCCATACCTTAAGTCTGTTGCATGCTGGAGCATATATGCACACACACTTCATCAGACATTCTATGTATGCCTGCCTGTAACACACACATATATAATTCACCCTTGTCTCACATATGTACATACACACACTTTACCTGCACTACACACAAGGTGTCCAGCAGCACCACAAACACACATCTCATCCTTGCACCACATTCACATCGTTTTGCAGATTCCAAGCTGCCAGTTGCTAACACCTTGACTTTGGGATATCTTTCCCGGTTCCTCTTTCCCTGGCTGATCAGAACATCTTTCCAAAGGCTACTCTAGGGGATCCCGCATGACCTAAACATCGCTCTTTTCTCTCCTGTCTTACCTGTGCTTCATAGGCCAAATTTTTCTGATTTCCACTGTCCGTCTCACTGCAGTCTTGCCACCCAACTTAAATACATGCAGATCCTTTTCTATCCACTCACTGCCAGCGTGCCAAATGTTAATGCAGCAACTCTACAGAACTAACTGCCCCTGTGAGTTTCCAAGACTGAAAGTGTTTACGGGAGTTGAAAACCCCGTCTTTCTTCTGAGGAGCAGCTGATGGTTTCAAACTGTGGACCTTGAGGCTTGCAGAACAAGTAATCACTATGGCTCCAGGGCAAGAGAAGCTTCGGTGGAGCAGTGGTTATTCGTTGGGCTTTAATCTGCAAGGTCAGCCATCAGAAACCATCAGCCACTCTGTGAGAGAAAGATGGGCTTTCTACTCCCCTAAACAAATAACAGTTTCAGAAACTCAAAAGGGCACTTCTACCTGTTCTTTAGGGTCACTGTGATTCTGCATTGACTCAATGACAGTGAGTTTTCTGTCCATCACCTTGGACTAAGCATTGGGGGTGGGGTGTAAAGTGATGATAAAGGCAGCTTTGGCCATCATTCGCCCCTTCAGTCGCTACTTCGTTGTATGCATCATTTAGGTTGGTGCAGGAGTTGCCTGCTGCTTGCTAGAAACTGCGTAGACTCCTTATACAAGGTGGGCATATTCCCTGCTCACTCGTGTTTTATTACCTAGTGTTGATGACCATCCCACGCATCTTACAGACAACCTTACACCAAACTAAGTGATGATGGAGGCATTTGGGGCACCAGTAAAAGCCAGTGTGGGTCAGAAATATTTGAGACCTAGTTCCTCACATCCCTCAGAGTAGAGAGCAGTGAACTCTGTCCTCATTGCACCTCCAGGACATTCTCCTCAAATAGGGGAACAACCACCCAGACTAGCAAATACATTTTCAAGTAGCTCTGATCCCCACAATCACAAGAAGAGCAAAAAGTATCATAGGCACCTTCAGAAGAACCATGCCAGCTGCCCCGTGTTTATGCTGACTCACCGTAACCCGAACGCTCTGAGCGGAGAGTAGAACTATGCTCTATGGGGGGTTGTGGTGCAGTTTTCATGAGCAGACTATCGGATCTTTCTCCCCATGCTCCCCTGGGTGGACTCAAACCCCCAACCTTTTGAGCAGCAGCTGAGCACTTCAGTGTTTGCACCAGGTGGAGAGTTCAGCCACCTTATTCCAAGAGGATATACACTCTGCTACACATTTTAACTGCTAACTCTGGTCCTGGATGCTATCAACCCATTTTCCAGAGGAAAAGTCAGAGCATCAGAAGCACCAGCCAGAGGATGCATAGCTGGCCAATGGGAGTTGAGCCCATGATGACTGACTTCAGCAACTGCTCCCTTCCAGTCCGCCCACCGCCAGCCACCCCGCCCACCCAGCATGTGAAATGCTTCCCAGAACCAACAGAGCTCCCTGAATTATAAGATATGAGGATAGTATCAGTACTATTGTTAGCAAGGACAGATAGGCCCCTATCTGTCCCCTCTGTCCAGATAGGCCTGCCCCATGCCTGCTGCCAATCAAGATAAG